ATTCCTGCTTTGTCTTTCTCACTGTATGGCTAAGGGCATATTTGCTTAACCTCCCTGGGCCCTAATTTCCTTGTCTCTAAGATAGATATTTACGTACCTCCAGGAGTTTTTGCAAGGATTAAGTGAGGCAATATTAGTAAATTACCAGTTACTATTAGGCTCTTAATAATGGGAGCAGCTATTATTTTTATTCATAAATGTAGGTAAAATTTTCTTCCATTAGATTTGCAAGACAAACATTAAATATTAGAAGAATAAATGATACATCCCCTGGAAGCTGTCCTTGTTGCTAGTGCTCAGATGAATCTGTGCAGCTTCAGTTTGCCCACTTGAAAGTCAAGGAACTGAAATCCTCGTGTCAGACTTGGATCCTGTGGACACTGGGAAAAATGAAAAGCTGGTTCATGGAGACGCCCCTGCCCTGTGCTAGCCTGAGATGGGGGAGATTTCTTTTTCCACTTACCCCAAGTAAGAAACAGCTTTACGAAGTTTCGGTCTTTCAAACTTATCTGTTGCCTTCACCCCCCACCCCTCTCTTTCCTACTTCTAACTTTCAAAATACACGGATTAACTGCCCAAGCCATGCTGTTTTTCTTTTTTCCATCTCAGAAGAACTGTTTCTCATTTTCCTTTAACAAGTCCTCTAGAAGTCCACATTAGAAAACTCTAGGGAGCAAAAACTTTTAAAGAGCTGAGAATTTTTTAAAAGATCTTTGAATATTTGAATGCCATTTTTCCCTCATGAAAACTGTGCTCCTTACCTCAAGAGCGAGGTTATAAGTTAACCCTCACCTTACCATCTGCTCCTAGGCTGTAATTTCCCCATGCTTCAGAGAGATACAGTGTTTTGAGCTAAAATGCTAGGCTGGATTTTAAACACTGCTTAACACTGGTTTCTAACTAAGCTAACTACTCATTTGGCAGGCACCATTTTTCCAATCAAATCTCTGCATTCAAAGCTGATTTTTCGTTTTCTTTGATGCTGTGGCATTTTATCAATACAATAATCAGAAGTTGTGTTAAAAAGCAAAAGCCCTGTTCAACTTTAAGGATAAGAGTTAGTCAATATCAAAGCAAAAAGAGGGAGGGAGGGAGGATGAAAGATATCTTGGTACCTGAAGCCTTTCCATTATTGGAGCTGGGGAGACCTGGGACAGATAAAATGGGGAGACGAAAGGGGAGATAGACTGGTTTTGAATAATACTCAAAATAATAGCAGTGTGAGCTTTATTTACATTTTATAAAATATTCTGGCCTTTTCTGCTCTGAAACTTAAAATGACTTGCATGGAGATAAGGACTTGACTGACACTTAGCCATCGACACATTACATCGGATTCTCTGACTTGTCTTTGCAGGCTAGTTCATGTGCTTTGTTAGAGCTGTTACTGATTTTAAGGGAAGGAGTTGGGTCTTCATTCCATATTCATGAATTCTGAATTCAGGTTAGCAAGCTATTAGAAAACGGGAGAGGCTGTTTCAGCCTAACTCTTGTTGGAGAAATTCTTTGGAGGGATGTAGTGATCCCTCGTGGGATCGTGGATGTAGTGATTAAATATCCTGGGTTCCCAGGACAGTCCCAGCAGAAAAACCTATTCTCGTGAGTGAACCTGCGGTCTCATTTTTAGTTCAACGCAGCCATCTCCATGAAGGGTTTATGTCTTGTCTTTGTTCTGCCAGTCTTAGCGCCCCAGTCGGTGTTCCATTTCTTTAGGGACGTGTGCTGTGCCCTTGGAGAGCCATCTCCCACCACAGAAACCCATGTGTGTTTGATTTGGTCCAGAGTCACAATTTAGGCACTTTCTGTGAGCAGCACCTTTGCAGAGCAAACTGTGTAACCACATCTGCCGAGGGCATGTGGGCTTCCAAGGAAGGAAAGCTACTCGAGGAGCCAGTTTGAGGTGGAATCAAAACAAATGATTATGAGGGGTTTCTCAAAGTGTTTTCTTAGCTGCAGTACCTCTTTGCTCCATGATATTGTATATGGAACCCTAGCATATGAAATGGGTCACAGCTGAGCTGGGCAGCTAGAAACCACACCTCCAGGCCTCCTCATCCCACCCAGCAGGCCTGGGGACTCCATGAAACTCAGCAGTATGGACCAGAGACAGCATGAGCACCCAGGCATCTATCTCAGCCCGTTTCCCACTCAGCCAGGCTGGGGACCAGCTTTGCTTGTGGAAATTCTCTCGAGAGGGCCTTTGGCTATTTGTCCCCATGCGTTTCTGGGTGTCAGGAGCAGTCTTTCCCCAGGCGTCATGAATGTACCTTCCTGGCTACAGGTCTCTTTGGTTGGGTGGGTTCTCCAAACCCAGCCCTAAACTGTGGTTTGCCATGGTATAGCTTCTGGTGCTGGGCTCCTTCTCTGTCTGCTGGGCTCCCGGGTATGGCTGGATGCCGGTGCAGGACAGTGGCAGTGGGCGACGTGTCACTCGGTTCTCTTACCTTAGCCGGATGTCTCCTGATCACGTTTTGTTTTGTTCACTAGATGATGATTCAGATCTGTACTCTCCTCGATATTCCTTTTCTGAAGACAGTAAGTGACTTAGAATTTCTTGGTTGTAGGGGAGGAAGGGAGAGTGGTGAACGAGGGAAGACATCTTCCTGTTTTCAGTTTTCATCTGTTTTAAAAGTCTTTCTTTTAAAACACACTTTTTCCTTCTCCAGCAAAATCTCCCCTTTCTGTGCCACGCTCAAAAAGTGAGATGAACTACATTGATGGTGAGAAGGTAGTTAAGAGGTCGGCCACACTTCCCCTCCCGACCCGCTCTTC